CGGCCGTGGATGATATTCGATATTTACCGACGTTCGAATAGACTTCTAGTCGTGTTCATTCTTCTTTTTAGGCGATAGTGTGGCCACAAATCGACAAAGAGAGACAATCAATGAGAGTCTTGGTGACTTGCCTTTCGTGGCTTGGCTGGGTGGCTAGGGCTTCTTCGAATATCTTGATGTCTTTGAAGAATAAGTGGAAGAATACCGTACCGTACGGTTACCGTTACCACTATAGGGCGGTGCAACAAGGCAGTTTCACTAGCCGGATATGTTCCCCTCAGTTGACAAGCCCCATACCTTATAAAACGCTTTGGTCATATCAAAAAATACTGCTCTAGTTATACTTATATGCATAAAGCAATGTTTTTTCAATTTCAATTCGTTCTGCGATGATCAAATTCTTGTTTCAAAACCAGCATAGGACAAAAAGTTGCTTTTAAATGAATGCTAGTAAACATACTTTTCTACAGCTATTCCTAACACCTTTAAGATTGATTGGTCGATAGTTATCACCAATTTGATGATCACCACACTTGAATAGTGCATGTATAGTACCTTTTTTTCATATATCACAGGAACAACCTTGCTTTTCAGCCTTCTTTTCAAAGATCAAAAGTAAATAAACATCTATTTCTAAATGAATGAATCGATTTTGGACTATGAATACATCTAAGTAAATTTTACGAAAGAACTATATTTTAGTGTATTTATTATTTTCCAAAAATAAATCTGATGAAGTGATCTTTTAAAAATTGATTTGAATAAGGTTTTCTTGTAAACTTTTGCCAAACGAGTCAAGAGACAACGCTAACTTCATTTTGTACTTTCAATTTAATTCAAGCAACATTTTTTGTGTGAAAAACGAATCTAAACGGATTTCCCTCCACAGAATATTAAAATCAAATTATGAGCGCCTTTTCGTTCTAAACAAGATAATAAGATAAGCTAACCCGTGAAAAGTAAGAATTAATACAAATAACATATAGAGGTAAAAAGTAAAGTGGTGCGGTGGTATATCATTGTATCTTAATATTTGCGTACCATTACGAAAACACGGTCCACTTGAATCACACTTAATATGAGACACGTTGGCCCATTGTAAAATGAGTACAAGACTATAACCATAATAGTAGATTGATATAAATTGAAGCCACAATACATAGGATGGTATCGATGCATTATTTATAAAAAAGCCGCTTACATGAAGAAACACTTGTTGACTTGGTAGGACGTATAATAAAGCAGTTTCAACAGTTGACGACAATGCGGCAACAACAGATGCAAATGCTGTTCCTGATATCGTTAATATAATAATGACAGCGCTAAGCAGAAAATAATTTCTCATATGTGTCATAAAATAGACAATTGTCACGAATACCCATGACATAATAATAAAGTATGGTAAGTCTGTTATAACCTTACAGATATAATAGGCATGAACACTGTATAGACGACGGCGATAATCGCGAAATACTTGTCTACAATCAAGAGGTATTGTCAAAACGACAACCAGTGTACATGCACGTATCGCACTATTAATTATATTTAACGATAACGCATTCATGTTTTGAACACCTTCTTGCGTTTTAGTTATTTGAAAATACAGCAGACCATATATAATAGCTACAATGACCAATTTTGATAGTAAATTTGTTGTGCGAACGGGATCACGCGCACCCGACTTGAACGCTCGCCATAATAACCATTTCATTTGTCGAAAAAAATTCGATTCATAATCTAATTCTGATTCTTTTTGTGATTCCGATGAAATAAATTCATTGTATTTCACTGCAAATGACAGTTCATTGTAGGATATTTGTTTAATGTCAGTGATTGTTTCCATTAGTAATTGATTGTATGTTGACTGTTGAAATGTTTCGACGCATTTGACAATAAATTCACTGTTGTCTTGTTTACTATTCCCGTTACTCGATGTTGCGGACGCTAATTGTGTCAAATAATATTCAGCTGGATTGTAATTATTTGGACACTGTCGTCCCAATGAGGAAAACATATCTATGGCACTATCGCGCACACCAAAATAAGCTTGTTTACCACCCACTAACAGACAAATACTATCGATTAACGAATAAATTTCCGATGTTGGTTGATGTATGACGGTGATGATGGTTTTACCGCTAAGAGCCAACTTCTTTATCGTATAAACAATGGATTTGGCCAAGTGAGAATCGAGACCCGATGTTGGTTCATCAATAATCAATAGTTGTGGATCATTCAAAATGACACTAGCAAATGTCAAACGTTTCAATTCACCACCGCTGATACCCTTCAGTTTACCGGGTATACCGATAATTGTGTTTTGACATCGTTCTAAATCTAATGTTGCTATGACTTCTTGAACACGAGTGTAACGATCAGAATCACTTATCGTCGATTTCATACGTAACATCGCCTGAACAGAAAGACGAAAGATCAGTCAAACACAAGTGTAGACTCTCATGTCATTTGCACTAATGGCTTCAAACAGATGATTGGGATATAAGAAGTTACCTGGAATGTCAAGTGCTCTTTGACCGTCATTGTTCCAATGAGCACTTCATGTTGTTCAACATAGCTACATTTAGTCATGATCAACTTGTTCATTTTCATCACATTAACCCCATTCATATGCAAACTGCCTTGGACATCAATTTTGTGTTCCTGTCTACCGCTTAGAATGCTCAGGAGGGTAGTTTTGCCTAGAACACATAGTTCTCTGTATAAAAAACTCAGAAGACACACAAGATACCGAACCTGCGCCTGATGAGCCAAGAATAGCCAGGATGTTACCCGGTATAGCATAACCGGATAGATTATATAGTAATTGCTTTTTTGTTTGCATATAATTCAAGCCGAGATGCTTCTTTAATGTTCCACTAAATCCTGGTGACGATGGTGCCAATGCTTTGACATCGACGTGAGCTGATATATTTTCCCATGTTAAATATATACGTTCATTATTTGATTGAACAGTTTCCGTGCTGTTATAATTGTCTACTGACTCGATCAACAAATTTCGTTCAGAGTCTACGCTAAATTGAAAAAACAGTTAAATTACGTACCAATGCTGATTATACTCGTTTTGTAGTGCACGGACGCGGAGTTCTTTGGTTGCTGTTTTCCGAGAAAGCAACGCCTTTGATTCGCTAGCTTTTCATGCACGCATCGAAATGGAAGCAACTTACGTTTTTTTATGCATGGTCTAATTTAAATAGAATGTAATTAATTATGATACCTAACTAAAAGTATATTTCTAGAGCATCTACAAAGGAATTACACGATAATTCACTGCGATCTCAGCTCTGCATAAATTAATTAGAACTATAGAACATGGGAAAACGAAACAGCCAAAGAAATAGAATAATATTTTGCTGCTTGATGTAGCCTGACTAAAATTAGTGACCATATCACATCGTAGTTTTTTCCCTTGTACTAAAAGCCAAGCACATATCTGTTATAGTGTCTATAGTGTAGCAATGAAACGGTTACATTGCATATTAATGTCAAGTATTTTTTTTCCCTGTAATGTTTACGCTAGCAAAAACGAGAAGCAGAAGTATTTGAGTTACCTTGAAGTAAAACAAAATACCGAAACATTTAACTATTTTTCAATATGCTTCATGGATGTTTCAGAAAACTGAAATCGACTTTTCTTTCCTAGAAGTAGGAAATGTCTAAGGACGTGCTAATAGGCCCACAACAGCAGACGCTTTGTGGCCTTTTGAAATACCAGTCTTTCGAGAGTATGCTGTATTTATTAATAACAAGTTGAGAAGATCATAATAAATTAGATACAGTTAATAAAGTCTTCCTTTTTAAAAGCTTTTTAATGTATTTTTATTTCATTAAATTAGCGACATTTCGATTAAAAGATGATCTTCGCCAGACCGCTTAAGCGACAATATGTAAAATACAACATTAAATAGTTTACTTATATACAGTTATTTTGCTCTCGTGTCAAGAGAGAGTAAAATGATAAGAAATTATGGTCAGCACTGAGATAAACATTTGTGATATAAGCAGAATTATGTTTTGTGTAGTTATTCGTAATTTAATAATTTAATAATAATTAATAGAACACTAATTGGTATGACTAATAGATCGAAAAGTATCTACGCAAATTGTATTACTACTAATTGAAGGAAATAACAGAAAAGAAATAATGAATGAACAGGTTACTTTTCACTTGTTTAAATTTCTTGTTGACAGAATAGCAAGAAATGTGGAAGAAAGCCTCGTCAATGACAAGTGAAAACCGAGCAACAAATTCCATTTTTATGGCAATGCAAAACAAGTAGCGAAAAGAGATATACATAAAGAACGAGAAATAGTTACACAACACAACGATCAGAATTAGAAATAATCCATTGATTTGGAAACAATGACAACAGAATTCAATGAAACTTTACATGAATCATCAATATACAAGTCGTTTACACAGCAATGATATAGCGTGGGTGAATAAATACTATAAAAGATAAGATGATATAAAATGGAACGTGACAGAAAAATAGAAAATTTTAATTAAGGATAAGGAAATAATCCCGTCTTTGAAAACGTTACCAGACACATTAAATACAGTATCCTAACGTATAAACAAGCAGCGATGTTGGAAACATCAACGTTTATATGCAAAAATGAAGAAAACCACGAAAACATAATTTAACAATTGAAGAAACATGTACGTAAAGCGTGATAAAATAAATGTATGAAATTGCAATAGCTCAAGCAATGTCGTTATAATGAATACTGGTGAATACATGAGCAAAAAAGAAGGGAAATTAAGGAATCTGAAATTATATTAAATAGTTAAGGATACAATCAGATGCG